CGCCCCAAGAGACACTCACAGCACGGTTGATGCAATAGCAAGAGGAATTTTTATTCTGCCACGGCAGAGGTCCCTCAGCCTCGAGAGGAGAAGGACCCTGCTTTGTCTATTACAAGCTCTTTTAAAGGAAAAAACCACAAATTCAGGGAGGGGGTAGTACAGAATCAAAGGGAAAGTCCAAAAATCACTTGTCGGGGGCTGGAGAGATGGCTCAGTGGTTAAGAGCATTGCCTGCTCCTCCAAAGGTCCTGAGTTCAATTCCCGTCAACCACATGGTGGCTCACAACCATCTGTAAAGAGGTCTGGTGCCCTCTTCTGGCTGCAGACATACACACAGATAGAATATTGTATACATAATAAATAAATAATTTAAAAAATTGGTGGTGGAGTGGTTCCACTTTAAAAAAAAAATCATTTGTCAACTGTTTTGACTAGTTCATACAATGGTCAGCTAACTCTACTTGATCAATGTTATGGCGGTTACAAGGAGGAACACCTGCGGGTCGTCTCACCCCAGTTCCAGGGTCCGGGTCTATTGGAGAAAGACTACAGTGGGGATGGAAAGTACTCAAAGCTCCCGTGCACGCGTTGCTGGTTACTAGGGACCTGGTTCCCAGGAAGAGGGGTGCAGTAGTGCTAAGGTGCCTCCTAATGCTAGAGGCCTGGTTCCCAGGATGGGGGGTGCAGTAGTGCTAAGGTGTCTCAAAGTCTTTCACATACATTAGTGTTTTTGCCTTCATGTTGTAAGACTGTAAGACAATTCTGAAGCCATTTCTGACAACTCTGAATCCTCTCAGCCTCCGTGCCATAGTGCTTCCCCTCCTCCCCCGGGAACCAAGGACCTAACAGCTACACTCGCATGTACTCAGTTCCTGAACAATTACCCATATACGTATGTTTTGATTCGGTCCCCTGGGAAACAGGGTCAAAATGACCTCTTACCTCATCTGATCTGGCAACAGCTCTCCAGCCAATTATTGGTAATAGCCCTGTCGAATAAGCCAATCAGAATAGTCAATCACAACCCCCCTTGCTTCTGTGGCCCCTTTAAAAGTAGACTGTACCCGCTATTGGGGGTCTCTCAGCTTCCCAAATGCTGAGGGATCCTGTCATGACAGAATTAATAAAATCCTCATGCTTTTGCATCGGCTGTGGTGTGTGAGGTGGTCTCTGGGGGCGATTCCTCCTCAGTATTTGGACGCTAGGGTCCAACAATGTATGTCTGTGTGAAGGTATTGGATCCCTGGAACTGAAGTCACAGAGGTTGTGAGCTGACTTGTGAGTGCTGGGAATGGAACCCAGTCCTCTGGAAGAACACTCTTAAACACTCTTAACACACTTAGCCACGGAGTCAGCTCTCCAGCCCTGTGGGTATGCTTTCTTATCAACACAACACAACACAAGCTGGTATCAGTGGGGAAGAGGGACTCTCAGCTGAAGATTTGCCTTCATCAGCTTGGCCTGTGGGCAAGTCTATGGGGACATCTTGACTGATGAATGATTGATGTGGGATGTCCAGATCACTGTGGACAGGGGCATCCCTGAGCAGGTGGTCCTGGAATATGTAAGACATCAACAAATAAGCTGGGGGGAGTCTTAGCAGTTTTAGCTGGGGCGGGTGTCTTAGAATTTTCATTGCTCTGAAGAGACACCATGACCACAACAACTCTTATAAGGAAAACATTTCATTGAGGGGACTTGCTTATAGTTTCAGAGGTGCAGTAGTTCATTATCATAGTAGTGGGGAACATGGCATCATGCAGGCAGATATGGTGCTGGAGGAGTGGCTGAGAGACTTATAGTCTTGCAGGCAGGGAGCTAGAGAGATGGCTCAGCGGTTAAGAGCACTGACTCTTCTTCCAGAGGTCCTGAGTTCAATTCCCAGCAATCACATGGTGGCTCACAACCATCTATAATGAGATCTGGTGCCCTCTTCTGGGGTGCAGGTACACGTGCAGGCAGAATACTGTATACATAATAAATAAATAAATCTTAAAAAAAAAAATCTTGCAGGCAATAGGAAGTCAACTGAAACACTAGGAAGTATCCTGAGCATAGGAAACCTCAAAGCCAGGTCCCATAGTGACAGACTTCCTCCAAACAAGGCCATAATCACGCCAACAAAGCCACACCTCCTAACAGTGCCTCTCCATATGAGATTATGGGGGCCACTTACATTCAAGTTACCACAGTCAGGTAAAGCAGTAAGCAGTGTTCTGACATGGCCTCTGTTTCAATTCCTACCTCAAGCTTCCTGCCGTGGCCTCTCTTCATGATGGTTGTAGACTGTAAGATGTAGTAAGCTCTTTCCTTCCCAAGTTACTTCTGGTTATGTTGTCTATCACAGCCGCAGAAAGCAAACTACAACAGTATTTAACATTAATTGCTATTTTAAAAAGCGTTTTAGCTGGGCAGTAGTGGTGCACACCTTTAATCCCAGCACTAGGGAGGCAGAGGCAGGAAGATTTCTGTGAGTTCGAGGCCAACCTGCTCTAAAAGAGCTAGTTCCAGGACAGGCTCCAAAGCTACAGAGAAAACCTGTCTTGAAAAA